GTAAATATCAAACCGGTTTTTAAAAAAGACATTCCTAAGTGTTGTCCAAGAATTTATTCTGCATTGAAAAACAGTAAATTTCTCCGCTTTTTATCGTACACCGATAAAAGTACTGTGCGACAATTTTTTTTATTAAGAAGCTGTACGGAAACTGTGAGCGAACAAAATACTGCCTAATATCTGAACGACATAACTACATATCAAATGGGGTTATATGCGTATGTATAACGACATACATTGAATTCCAAAAATAGCATGCCGTAAATGACGAAAACTGATTTTTCTCTATGACGTCAAAAGGTGACAGAGAGGTTACACACGTACAAAGAAAAGGGGGCATAACTCCGCTATGCTTAGCTCTAGTTTGTTGTAACTCAGGTCACTTGGTGAGAATTAGCTGTGGGTCAGGACAATATATTTTCGTGGTGTTTTGTTCGGGAGGAACCAAACTATTCCAACACAAAATATCGATATTGAAACTGTACACGTTTAGTTATAAAATATACCCATAAGAAATGATGAAATCGTACTTCATAAAAAGGAGGTAATAGAGAAATGGATGGCCTTATCTAACCTATAACTTAGTCCTTAGATTCCAACATTCTCCTGATTGTGTAAGTGTGATTTGACTAATGTTGCATCATTATTAATGGAGCACAAGCCTTATCATCAAATGTAATGAAATACCCGAAAAATAACACGATTCCTTTTGACGTCATGGCTGGTTTCATGTCATTGATAACGTCGGAGAAAGACGACACTTGTATTTTGATTAATATATATCTCCCCTAAGTTTCGTTCATGGTTTGGAAAATCTCGATGTGTGGAACGGAATTTGACACTTTTTCGACACAACATAAAATGACTGCTCTCACCAAGTAAATAATGTCTTGAAAATGTAAACAATTAGATAGTTTATCGTGTATCTTAATTGGACAAAACACGCACCTGTTTGGCATCAATTTACGTAATGAAATTCCCAAAAGAATATTTCAAAACAACCAAAATTATATTCAATATTGGACATATATTTGTTCATGATTATGTTATATTTTCTTACACAATAAAAGATGCAAAGAAAGCTCTATTGGTATAGAATTATCAGGATAATCGTATACGTTTGAACCAACGGGGTACCTGACATGGGTTTTATTTTTATACATTTTACAATTCCTGGAGAAATAAAGTAAACTGTGTACTATCCTGTGATCCAATATTGAACAAATAATGTAACCATTGATTATATAATGCAAAACGAGAGGAATAATTCGTAAATTGTTTGTGACTAACGCGCACCTGGCGAATCGTTAGATATCATTGTTCTCTGTATCCAACGACATAAAAGACAAATCCAAGACCAAGACATTTCAGAAATGTGTGCATATATTTTACCGAAAAATATTATCCATTTTGTTAAAGTAATATATTCAGTTTTAGTTATAAAATAAAATGAAACGGCTATTCATGGACATTGGTTATATGAACTTATAATATTGACTTATTACACATCCCAAGAAATACGTACATGCTGCAGTTACATTTACACTTCATCTTGTAACACTTGTCCAAAGGAAAGAAATATCGTAGTCGACACTATAAACCTATCACATTGTTATGTAAACAAACAGGAAATTATCAAAGGTTCGTTCATACATGTTGTGGCCTATATGTACGTATGATTTCATTTTGAACATTGACAAATATCCAAAGTGAAATTAATTGTGTGAACAAATGTATAAAAGACATGCAAAATATACACCATAACTGAAACTGTAAACAGCATGATACAGTGATCGTGTGCACTCTCATTCAAGGACCTTCACCTCAAAGAAATTACAAAAATATGTACAACAATGTTGACGTATGACATCACTACCTGTGACCCACTTTTACAAAATGGCGTGTACACTTTCAACAGTACGCGGGATTGTACGAGGGGACTTTCGTTGATTCAGGGATCGTATAAACATAAATGAGACATGTAAGTAATCAGAAACATTCTGACAATCTATGTACTGTTATTTGTTGTCATAATTTTCATTGAAACAAACGGAAATAGTCAGAAATTCCGATAAATACCGTTGTCGTTGTGCATGATTTTGCGTCAGTCATGGCGTCAACCAGAACGGTAACTTTGACAACTTCTGTTGAAAATATCAAATCATTGCAATGAATCTATTTGAAATTCCCTAATTCTTCCTACGATTCTCTTCCCATGCATATTCTGAAAATGTTGAGCCAATATCTTGAACGAATAGACGAATGGATAGCTCAAAATAGGAGAATATGCTACACTGTGTAAAATCTGAATTTTGCTTTGTTTACATTTCAACCATGTGCAGTTTTTCGAGCACAGCGTTCGTTTTCACACCTAACTTATTTTGCTTGATTTCATCTAGCCACTTTGTATTGGTGACAAAGACCACTGGTCATTTGATTCTAAAATGTATGAGGAATTCAAGGATGTAGGTATCACAGATAAGTTTGAAATATACGTGATGTTACAGGCGTCTCATAACCGGTGTACCTGAAACGTGATTTTGTAAACACTATCCAATATGGCGGAAAGTTCACTTCGGCGTTCGTGTTTTCGTTTTTTCCAAAACATTCTAAACGATTCTAGGGTTACCGGAAACGTTTTGGAATGATCATTGGTGATTTCATAAAAGACAGATACCCGTGATCACTAATATGCTGTTTTTGAAATTCATTTCTCCGAGTAAATATCCGAAATTTAGATTTCAAAACATGCTGTAAATAACGCCGTGAGTGGTGATTTAGTAATGTGTAAAAAATTTACGATGTACCTAATTTTCAGAGGTCATGTTCAGTACTTTTGCTTGGCCTAAAATGCCAGTGGATGATATCACAGAACAGGGAATTTCCCACCTTATTCAAAACTGTAAAGTGTATTTGTGTGGGTGATGTATTTTGAATTTTATTCGACTTCAAAGTGAGGGCTGTAGAGGAGGGACATATATGTCCCTCTGGCATCCAGGGGGTTAAGTGTAGTAGGTCTTGGTGAGCCTGTCATCCTCTATATGTCCTCATCTAAACTATGAGCCTGGTCTGCTATCGCAATTGCATGGATAGAAAAATTCATCGTTCCTAAACTTGGGTGGCTTAAATGACAGCGAAAGTGTGAGTCTTCATCCAATGATCTAATCATATCTGTCAGCATAGGGTCAGCCGGGATCGATGTAGGATGCGACCATATGGTGTCCTTTTTATCCACCCCTTTACCAGGGGAAGGCACTGATACGAAATGGTCCACTACCCAATCGGGTACTTGTGCTTAGCTGAGATGCGTATTCCATTCTGTCAAAGAATCTCCATCTTCGCCATTCGAAAAGTCTAACGAACCAGAACGATGTTGACATGTTCATCTAGACGGCAATCTGCTTCTGCTCTGGTGCTTAGCGCTACCTCTGACCGAGGGCTTGGATGATCTGGCGGGTGAAATGGAGACATGCAGTGATGTCCATGTACGCGCAGGCGTACTACCGCTAAATGCGCATATTGCATTTGTATATTGTAGACGTTAGGTGCCGGAGTAGGTGCGAAGCCTTGTGCCATGGCGTAGGTGTTGGCGCAGGATACAGGTGTGCTATAGACTGCTGCCACATGGACTGCAAAAAATTTTGCATCCAATTAGCGTTCTGGAACGGTGTTGACACCTGAGCGGGCATCTGCTGCGCTGGATATGTTGGATCAGCGCTAAGCTGATCATGCATAGCCTGCGTAACATTATACGCTGTGAGCCCTGGGGCTGATGTCATTGTAGATGCTCTTAGGCAGTAGGCAGTAGGCAGGAGCTGCGTTCAGCGCAGGTATCTGAGACGCAATGCTCATTGTTGCTGACTGCTTCATGTCTTGAGATGCTGGCGGCGGCGACGCAGATCTACCAGAGCTGGTTGTCTCAGGCCGCTGAAAATTAGGACCAGTTAGGATACTCACAAAATCCTCCGATATTGATGATTTCGGCGGAGGGTGCACTTCTGCAGTCACAGTTACAAGCATCATATTGCCCATCAGTGATAACGGCTGCATGGTAATGACCAAACCATGTCCTTCGCTATTCAGTGATTGTAACATCTTGTACACAAAAATTACAATGAGAGTTTGGCAAGCAAATCTGCGTGCATGCCAAAAAACATGGATGAGGATCTTTAGAAGATTTTTTCCATGACAATTAGTACAACACGCAAGAATAAGTTACGCAAATAAATAATTGTTGATGAAACAATACTGGAAGAATGCCGTAGAATTTAACAATAATTAATCGGCAAAAAATTTGCTTGAGTTGAAAGTGTAAACAATATTTTTATATATACGCAACTCAATGTAATGCCAAAGCTAGTTGTATTTAAAACACATGAATATGTTATGCATACCTAGCTGAGAATTGTAAACCATTTGACTACCTTGGCAGGCAAACAAGTGTAACACAAATTCAAAATGCGGGAGAACAACGAGTATGTGGCAGGAAAAAAGACAGAGTCTTTTTATGCCTAAATAATCCACATAAAACTACACAACATAGTAAAAGTAATATAAAAGGAATGCATCGCCCATCGCAGATCAGTTTTAGAATTGTAGTAAAAAACTGAAGGTCTAAATTAATCCAAAAGGAGAGTTTCGCTTGGACACGTCCATGATGTAGCGTGGCAGGCAGTGATGTGAAGAAGGTGACCTTACCTGTCATCAAGGTCACATGACAGCGGTGGTGGTCAGTAAAAGTGGGACTTGAGATTAACAATTTATTTCTTCACCCAGGACCATCGTCCTTCTTGTTGTCGTAAGGTAAGCAGTGAATGCATTAAGGAGTAATGCAGGATAAGTAAAAAAATGAAAATTTTAAAACATAATTCAAAGTAATATTTCTTTTCAATTTGATAATATTCACACTACAGCAATACAGAGGTAACTTTTATCAAGCAAGTAGATTGAGATGGAACAATGAGATGGGTGTCTGCCCGTTGGTGGAAGAGAGTACCCACCTTCTGGATCCACATCACGTGCCAGCTTCACCGATTCAGATGTAGCAAAGTCTGTGTTTGCTGAGGTGACGGCCAGTATGACAGAGTTTGGGTTACTGATATACTTCAAACACAAATCTCGAATTTGTAGTTCAATATCAGCCGGCTGGTCTCCAACAGGAAGTTTTGTGATACCAGGTAAGTCGACTAAGGTCAGGTTTACTACCTTTCCAGAATACACTTTCAGGTTGATGGGCTCTGAGCATATACCCTACAGCAGAGACATGTTCATGATCAACATGACAGACATCAAAACTTATTTAATTTACATATCATATAGATTCATTCCACAAAGCCTATCACATCACTTATAGCCTAGAGCGCATACACCAAAACATTCCATTACTTATAGCCTAAAATGCATAAAACAAATCTTTCCATTACTTATAGCCAAGAGTGCATACATCAAAACTTCCAATTACATATAGCCTAATGCGGCTACACCAAAACTTCCCATTACTTATAGCCTAGAGTGCATACATCAAAACTTCCCATTACTTATAGCCTAATGCGGCTACACCAAAACTTCCCATTACTTATAGCCTAGAGTGCATACATCAAAACTTCCCATTACTTATAGCCTAGAGTGCATACATCAAACCTTCCCATTACTTATAGCCTAGAGTGCATACATCAAAACTTCCCATTACTTATAGCCTAGAGTGCATACATCAAACCTTCCCATTACTTATAGCCTAGAGTGCATACATCAAACCTTCCCATTACTTATAGCCTAGAGTGCATACATTAAAACTTCCCATTACTTAGAGCCTAGAGTGCATACATCAAAACTTCCCATTACTTATAGCCTAGTGTGCATACATCAAAACTTCCCATTACTTATAGCCTAGAGTGCATACATCAAACCTTCCCATTACTTAGAGCCTAGAGTGCATACATTAAAACTTCCCATTACTTAGAGCCTAGAGTGCATACATTAAAACTTCCCATTACTTAGAGCCTAGAGTGCATACATTAAAACTTCCCATTACTTAGAGCCTAGAGTGCATACATCAAAACTTCCCATTACTTATAGCCTAGTGTGCATACATCAAAACTTCCCATTACTTAGAGCCTAGAGTGCATACATTAAAACTTCCCATTACTTAGAGCCTAGAGTGCATACATTAAAACTTCCCCCACTGCAATAGTGTAGTTCTTGTAGGACTGATGGCATTTGTTGCCAAATGTGGACAGTGCACATTTCATGCAGCCTAGTACCATGATTGCAGCTGAGACTCCATGACTGAGAGGTCACTAGGGCTGTAATGATGCAGTCATGATACAACATATCTGCATAGAAGGTTATATGATATATAAAACTTGACATTTGACAGATCCACATGGTTTTTGGAACAGTTTGGATCATCAAAACAAACCAATTTTAGAAATTTGCTTTATTTATCTATCAATGGCTTCAGAACTTCAGATCTTAAGGTCAGCTAAAAGTATTTTCACGCTAACTGTTGAGGACATTAACACTCATATAACAAGGCTTCTTATGTATACACCATGATATACATGAATTAATACATTTTGTGTATTGATAAATGACCTCATAATGCACTTCTTGGATCATGGCACGCATACCACAGCCCTAGCTGGAGCCTTGACACTTCAGCATGTTCAGAAAACAGATAAACCTTATTTGTCCCGGACATTCTGTCTGTCTCGTTGACGATCTCCTGTCTAATTTCATCAAAGTCAGTGTAGACTTTATTCTTAGTGTGCAGAAATTTGCCAAATTCATCTGCTTTGATGAAAGCTGAAAGACACAACCAAATCATTGATTTAATGCAAACATGGAGTCTGTCATGTGTCATGCATCATGCTAATACACATCTAATAAGAGACAATGTAAATGGACCAGCTACATCACTCATCAAGAACTGTAGGAGTTTAAAACGAAAATGTAGTATCCATAAGTTTTACAGGATGTTTTTCTTTTGCAAGTCAAATAGGATTGTATGTAAGTCAAGCGGGTTTTGTGGTACAGTGTTCCCTCGCTATTGTGCTCTTCAATATGACGCTAACTCTGTTATAGTGTACTGTAAAGCATGGCTCCCAAAATAAACAAGTTTTCCAATGACACGATGTTTTCCCCCTTCTCAGAAAACATTATCAGCTGATCATGTAACACCGGAAATACCAGTCAACAAATCCAAACTGAAGTACGAAATTTTATCTTATTATAATATCTGGTTGTAAAAAAACCATTCATTGTTTATCTGCACTAATGTTTGCAATATATTTTATTAATTATATTCAAAATTTCATTCAATAATTATAATAATGTTTACAATAATTTTGGTGAAATTGTATGCGAAGTGATTGGAACATCGCACAACTAACCATTTATTTACAGCAACCACTCTCAGATTACCACTATTGACGCCTTGAAACGAACTTTAGTTGCAAGAGAATGGATACACATATCATAAATGATGTACCATGACTCGCTAAAAGTCATATTTGAGGCAGTTTGACTATTAAATGTCAACATAACATTTTCGCAATCGAAATACATGCATACCACCTGTACCAAAGTGTATGCTTATGGCTCTAAAGATTTTAAGCATATATAATGGAAGCTGCAACTAAAATATTGGAATATATATTCCTGATAAAATAATAATTTCAGATGCAATTTCTTCTGATCATAGCATCAAAATTCTTTGAAGTTGTATCATTGGGTACTTTTTAACTGAATCACCACTAGATTGGGAAGAAACGTGTGCACAGCTGATTGCTATTTCCGTCATGGTTTACGAGAAAATACACACAGTAATCTTAATCTCTGTATATTAGACAATGCCTTGGAGAGCAGGAAATACATTTTAAATGGTAAATCATCATGTCTAGAGATGTTTTGTACCAAATTTCATACTTTTATTGACCAAGTTTGTTATAATGTTTATTCACCTGAATTCACTGAAAGGATACGAAGTGTTTTTTGAAAGCGCATATTAATACTCGATAAATCTTTTTATACACTATGAATCATAAACAACTTCTATGCTAACATTTTTTTTAAATCTGAAACGTGCATCGTAGATCGTGTTAGGTAGGCAGAGCATGAATACTGTTTTGTTGGTCATCTACCACCTACAACTCGACCTCAGTTAAACCGCTGATCATCTATAAAGTTCATCATTTATTTGGATCCAGTTCATTCTGAAATTTCCTCCGATTATGTAGTTTATATTCAAAAGTGGAACAACTTAAGTGAAATTGCAGATTATTTTTGTATATAAAAAATTAAAAACATAAAATTAAAATTAAAAATCATGCTCATATTATATAAACAAGTTCTCTATATTTCAACATGACACATTTTGTCATATACATGTACATTAAAAAGTAAAACAAGGCAAGAGCTACTTTAAGCAACCTGTGTAACTAACAGGGGCTAAAACCACCAACGACACAATTGTTTATCCCTAACCATTGTAACTGCTGTGTTGTCAAGTCATATGACAAAACTTAGAATGGCTTCAATATAACAGAGTAGCAATATTATATACTATAAAAACACACAAGTCTTACTTCCATCTTGAGTCCTAGTCTCAACATCATCTCTACCTAAGTGAATCAGCTGCAGCACTAGAGGTCGTCGAGTTACAATGCCGGTTCCACGTGGCAAGAAATCACGCCCAACAAGACTTTCCAACACAGAGCTCTTTCCAGAACTCTGAAAATATGATGTAGTACAATGACCTCACCATGCTCACCGAGCCCCAAGTACAAATCTGGAAACTCTTACAAAAATCTTAAATATTTGGCACTAGTCGTGCAGATATTAATGTCATCATTGTCCTGTATTCAGCTGCACATATCATGATCAGATAAAACTCTAAAGAGCAATCGAGTTGTCCAATATCATATAAACACAAAAATAGGTCCATGGTACTGTAGCCCACATTGATAATTATTCAGTCAACAGTTGAAAATGTCAACAAAGACAATCACAGAACAAAAGATGCTGTCAGCACTGATTTCAAAGGGAGGCATGAGCATGGCTAGTGACAACACATGGGTGAGTTCGCTTTTGAATCAGTACTGAAAAAATGTAGCTGGTGAAATAGGCTTGTGTGAAAGTTTCAGGACAGTTTCCAGTAGCCAAATTATTCAACACAAAACCATTTCATCCTTTTTACTCGACGTTTTTTAGTTAAGAATATTATGACCCTCTATAGAATCTATAATAGCTACTAAACGGGTATCTAACCCTAATGATCATAAAGGGTTGATTGATCGTAAAGGGGATCCAAGGGCTAAGGATAGAGTTCGGGTAATCTAATAGCCACTAAATGGGTACCTAACCCTAATGATCGTAAAGGGTTGATTGATCGTAAAGGGGATCCAAGGGCTAAGGATAGAGTTCGGGGTAACCGACCCTAACACTGGCGACATTTGGATGTGTTCAGCGCCAATGTAATATCCCTAATAAACTGCATTCTTGTACATAAAAATGCAAATTAATGAACCGAAAAAATAATATATGTATATAATTATTAGTTCCCATTTATAACCATTTTAGCCACTTGAATTGCAAGAAAAACGAAATAAAAAATATACAAAAATAAGTGTGCTTTCGTAAACTAGCGCTTGCTATAAAATGTGCCGTCGTAGGCTATATTTAGGAAATAAATATTCAAAACTCGCAACACAACTTGGCGTATTCAACGACATTGTGTGTAGAGATGATAGATCACTGGGATGAGGTTATGCACACTCGATGACCCCTGACGTCACAGGGCATTGTTTCGCCGGCGTGACTGCCAACAAAATACTACAAATTACATCATAGGGTATTGTCACTTGTTTGAAAAGTTTGTGGTACTGAATTCTTAAGGTAGGCCTGGAACAGATATGATCCACATACTTGAAATTATTTTCCAGACATTTATCGTCATAACACCTTCACTGTCATTTCATCAGTTCGCATATTTTTTGTCAGTTGTACCAATTTGAGAAAAATCGAATTTTGCATGCCCATAAAAGTAAACAATATTGGGTGTTAATCACTTGGTAAACATGGTAAATGAGCACTAATTATTTGTGATAGCAGCCATGGTCCTGTGTCAGCTTATTAAATTGACTCATTAGCCCAGCACAGCTTCAAGCTGCTAACATCCGAAAAAGTGCACTGACAAAGTACAATACTCCCATAGCACTATGGAAAACTTAACTGAACAAACGGCAACAATGATTTCTACAGTGACGACTTGACTTAACATAAACTTGATGTTCACGAAGCACTTTGTGCATCTAGAAGAAACAATGTGCAATTGCTGAATTGCAAGCAAAGCAAAGATCCAATCAGCGTCAGTCAGACCAGGCGCAAGATTGAATTTGCAAATGTGCTCTCGGTAAGATGCACCACTGCGAATTTCGGCGATTCGGGTCGTTTTCGCCAGCACCCTGTCGCTCTCATCCTGACCTGTCAATGTCAAACTGAACTCAAACCATCTAGGCCTAATAATGCGATCGTTTAACGTTGGGTTACTGACAATTCCACATGTTATCGGTACCAAAAAATCATCACTGTGACAAAGTTTACAACGAAAAAAAACAACTTAAGAGGTTTCCAATGATGTGCCTACTTGATAATGAAATTGATGACAAATGTTGCAAAATACTTTACTGGTTATGCGTGAACTCTTGTCAGATGTATATTGAAGGACCAAACTATCTCACAAACCTGACTACCAATTACCACAATTTGTGGCAGCTGTACTGTCTCTGAACCAACTGTGTTGAACACATCTTGCAGTTTATTAATTACAGGTATCAAATTTTCCATCTTTCATTCCCTTCGAAGACAGAAAATGGCGAGAACCGGGCTGAAGGGAGATAACTCTGAACATCCGGCAGGTACTTGTGAACAGACATTGATGACGTTGTACGCACATTTGTTCGTCACGTAAAAATCACGGAAATGTCACGTCTGGTTTGCTCGAAACTCTATTGTTCATGACTACTCACGCACTTATACGAAAGCAGAAATAATACAAACCGGGCTAATTTAAAATTTTAATTCTATAGTATATCGCATATGGGAGATCGTGGTGCGCGCTAAAACAGCACCGAGCGAAAACGACACCAATGATCGGAGAAACTCGGCGAAGCCAAAACGGCTACTTTTGAAAACTGCACCTTATTTTCTTAATTTGTGTAAAGAAAACAATGAATGAAATCAAATCAACATGTCATATCTATATCGGAAAGGCTTATTCCACTTAGCGACACATGTGCAGAAAAAATGTCAACATCACTCTGGTTGTGGTTTATAATATCGCTTCAGCAGCTGCTGTACGTGTTGTGACTGTTCGTTACCTGATGGGACCTAGGACCAGGAGACAGATTTCCACAGGCCTCTCCAAAGCATGAAAATTCTACTTTTTCAAAATCTTAAAATTACTTATTCAAGTCTTTCAATCCATCGGAGTAAAATGAAATTAGCATTCATATTGTGTGAGAAATTATGCAATGTGAAGTGAAAAAAAGAAAGATAGATCATCAAGACGGTGTAACTTTGAATTTCTACCCGCAATTGAGAAATGAACCGGTCCTGTTTTCAACGTTGAAAAATGAACCCAAACAGTTCAATGATGACTCATATCACTGAAACATGAATTGGCTTATTTTCCAACGCTTATAGAGCCTTCGGGGTCTTAATTCAACGTTGAAAATGAACCTAAAATAAAAACCGTGAAATCTAATCTTGACCCGCATCAAACTTCAACACTAACATGTGGTCGTCTTACAATTCAGCGCTGAAAACATACGGTATCCATAACTAAACATTGCGTATACCTGTATACTGCACTCAATCTACTTCGCTACTTGGGGACGTGATAGCGCTTTGCCTGCTGACCAAGAGGTCCGGAGTTCGAACCTGGGTATCTTCTCTGTGGCGAAGAACAGTTCTACACACAGTGAGGATAGTGTACAAAGCTGCAGTGTGACGCAGTGCAGTATCACCCTTGGTTCGCCAGTACCAGCCGATGCTCGCAGGTTTCACTGCAACGCATAAAACACCATGGTGTTGCAAGTTTTCCTCCAGCTCTAACACGGGCCGCCATGACATGATTGAAATACTGTTGAAAGCGGTCTATTTTATGGTCTCTGCTCATCGCTACTTACGAGGATGGAAACTAATATAGACCAATTGTCAGTTTTATTGAAAGGGAGTCATATTAAGCACTTAAGAATCTTTTAATTTAGATTAAATCTATGTGTATCCATAAATTAACGACCACTCTTCTTTCAGGAGAAAGTGAGAGGGAGAGTGTGAGTGAGTGTGAGTGAGAGAGAGTGTAAGTGAGATTGAGTCTAAGGTCATGTTTTAAATATGTTATCCCTTTGAACTCAAAAGTTCGCCTACACCTGTCACTCAACAACCTGGCCACCAACCGTGGTCCATCTTGGCAAACCTCGAGTATTGGAGGGGTAACTCATTTGTACCATGTCGTCCCTCTGTGACTTCATACAATAATGACGTCACAAACTAAGTTTTGTGGGATTTCATCAGCTTGGCGCACAGAACAGATGATAATAATGTCTCGCTGCCGCCAAACAAAGATCTGAGGACACTTTGACCGACCACTGAGACCATGGACACTTAATACGATATATTTAGGGTCCATGCTGAGACGAAGAACAAGAAGTCGACATCAGCCAATTAGAAAGCAGCTTTCTCGAGCTTTACGGCACTGTTTCAACCTGGCGACTTCCATTTCAGAATACGCTTGAAAAATATGTTGACACTGTTCTCGGTAAAAAAAATTGAAAACCGAACAAAAGAACAACCCGGAATGTCTAATATGTGGTTACGACTGTATTGTAGTGCTTCCCACGTACTGTGCAACCCCTCCTCCGTTCAAATGTTTATCCTACGGCAGCGAGAGACAGACGATAATATTGACGGTAACTGTCGTTCGGAATACCCCGTTTTAACGTTTTCGAGGTTGCATGTTTAGAAAACAAATTCCAACTGTCACTTTCATGATCTGGTAAGCGACGCTCTGATTGGTTGGATGAAAGGTTGTTCTGACGTGACCCTTAATGGGATGTCCTCAGATCTTTGTTTAGCGATAGCGAGAACTAAGATCTGATTTTAATGAGATTGAACTACTTCGACGTGGTCACCCGCCATTACCATTCTCACGAAACTTTAACTCTCTATTTCAAAGCCCAGTAAAAACTCAAATTCTTCGTTTTGATCAGACATTGTCATAAATATAATATGTCCACAAAATACAGCCATACACGCACACTGCTATGTAGATCAACCTTGAGAGGCTTTAGAATCATCAAACTTCAAATTTCTTCGAGCGGAAAAAATCTGACCTCTCACTTTGACGCATGCGCACAACCATCAGAAAATGAACTGCTTGGTCACGAAACACATGGGCACTGGCAGCTTCATAGAAAAAGTAATCTTTGCAAATGACGCGGCAGGATTTTCAAGATCGTTAAAGTCATTACTTATCAAAGGGAACATCACTTCCTACAAAAGTAAACCAAAAAGGTCATTAAAATGTCCCACCCGGCCGTATTCAACCGACACCCTGTACCACCCATCCACCCAGGCGTAACCACGAATATGTTTGGTACGGAGTGTCTGTTGTGTACGGCTGGGTGGTACAGGGTGTCGGTTGTATACGGGTGGGTGGTGCAGGATGTCGGTTTTATACGGCTGGGTGGTACAGGGTGTCGGGTTGTATACGGCTGGGTGGTACAGGGTATCGGTTGTGTACAGCTGGGTGATACAGGATGTCAGTCGTGTACGGCTGGGTGGTACAGGGTGTGGGTTGTGTACGGCTCGGTGGTACAGTGTGTGTTGTATACGGCTGGGTGGTACATGGTGTGGGTTGTGTATAGCTGGGTGATACAGGGTGTCGGTCGTGTACAGCTGGGTGATACAGGGTGTCAGTCGTGTACGGCTGGGTGGTACAGGGTGTGGGTTGTGTACAGCTGGGTGATACAGGATGTCAGTCGTGAACGGCTGGGTGGTACAGGTTGTGGGTTGTGTACGGCTCGGTGGTACAGTGTGTGTTGTATACGGCTGGGTGGTACAGGGTGTCGGTCGTGTACAGCTGGGTGATACAGGGTGTCAGTCGTGTACGGCTGGGTGGTACAGGGTGTTGGTTGTGAACAGCTGGGTGGTACAGGGCGTGGGTTGTATACGGCTAGGTGGTACAGGGTGTCGGGTGTATACGGCTGGGTGGTACAGGGTGTGGGTCATGTACAGCTGGGTGATACAGGGTGTCGGTCGTGTACGGCTGGGTGGTACAGGGTGTGGGTCGTGTACGGCTGGGTGGTACAGGGTGTGGGTTGTGTACAGCTGGGGGATACAGGGTGTCGGATGTATACGGCTGGGTGGTACAGGGTGTCCGTCGTGTACGGCTGGGTGCTACAGAGTGTCGGTTGTAAACGGCTGGGTGGTACAGAGCGTGGGTTGTGTACGGCTCGGTGGTACAGTGTGTGTTGTATACGGCTGGGTGGTACAGGGTGTTGGTCGTGTACAGCTGGGTGATACAGGGTGTCGGTCGTGTACGGCTGGGTGGTACAGAGTGTGGGTTGTGTAAAGCTGGGGGATACAGGGTGTCGGATGTATACGGCTGGGTGGTACAGGGTGTCCGTCGTATACGGCTGGGTGGTACAGGGTGTCGGATGTATAAGGCTAGATGGTACAGGGTGTCGGTTGTGCACGGCTGGGTGGTACAGAGCGTGGGTTGTGTACGGCTCGGTGGTACAGTGTGTGTTGTATACGGCTGGGTGGTACAGGGTGTGGGTTGTGTACAGCTGGGTGATACAGGGTGTCGGTTGTATAGGTCTAGGTGGTACAGGGTGTCGGATGTGTACGGCTAGATGGTACAGGGTGTCCGTCGTGTACGGCTGGGTGGTACAGGGTGTCGGTTGTGTACGGCTCGGTGGTACAGAGTGTCGGTTGTATACGGCTAGGTGGTACAGGGTGTGGGATGTATACGGCTAGATGGTACAGGGTGTCGGTTGTCTGTGGCTAGGTGGTACAGAGTGTCAGTTGTACACGGTTGGGTGCATCTTCCCGAGGCAAAGGAGTTAACTGACTATAAAAGTCCAGTTTCCACCCTTGCCGAACTAGGCTGGTATTATGGAGTTACGTTTTGTCTGGACTAACGAGTCTATGCATAGTCAAATCAAAATCGCGCACCGAAGTCAAAATCCGGTTCGTAAACTGTCATGCAGATTTCGATCGATTGCAGGGTTTGCAAAGCATGTGCATCGCCAATTCGTTGTCAGCAGATATTTTCCAAATATTTTCATGTTTTTAATCAAAGTGCTGACGTGATTTGATGCATTTCGCGATGTAAGACCCGTTTTATCGCAATATAGATCTTGATTATCGATCAGATCGTCCTGACTGGGCGCCACCATTTTGTGTGAAGCAAATGCAAGTGATACGAGAGGTGGAATCTGATTGGTCCATAGGAGAGGCTTAGAATGGACATAATTGGTAATAGACACTGGTGGCGCAACGATCGAGCCCAGTAATTCCAGCCTAGTTCGGCGAGGGTGGAAACTGGACTTTTAAAGTCAGTTAACTCCCTTGCCCCGGGAAGATGGGCTGGATGGTACAGGGTGTGGGTTGTGTACGGCTCGGTGGTACAGTGTGTGTTGTATACGGCTGGGTGGTACAGGGTGTGGGTCGTGTACAGCTGGGTGATACAGGGTGTCGGTCGTGTACGGCTGGGTGGTACAGGGTGTGGGTTGTGTACGGCTGGGTGGTACAGGGTGTCGGTCGTGTACGGCTGGGTGGTACAGGGTGTCGGTCGTGTACGGCTGGGTGGTACAGGGTGTGGGTTGTGTACGGCTCGGT